CCCCCCCCACACACACACACCTCTATTACCTCCAGAGAGAGAGAGTTCAAAGCGTTTAATTCGTTCAAGTCTTGGGTTGAATTTACAGAAGGACAAATGTGTGTGTGTTTTCCTAATTAGTTTAAGAAAAAAAGGAATTATCGCTGAAGCAAAATAATCCTCAGTAACGTGCTTCCCGGCGACTGTCCCTGTGTTTCTGTTGCTTTGGTTTATTGCAAAGCTCCAAAAGGTCCAACACAGAGGACATTGACTGTGAGCCACTGTGAGGGCTGTGTGTGTGTCGCAGACTGTCCTGTCAGCCGGTGGGGCTCAGTCACTCACTCACTCACTCCTCACTCACTGATGTTGATTAGAAACGAGTCTGTTTATGGCTCGACTCCACCTAATCACGTAATCGCCTGAGTGTGTTGTCAGGTACAGAGACTATACACATACCACAGGGAGTGGGGAGGCAAATAGAGAGGGGGGGAGGGGGGGAGAGGAGGGTAGAGGGGGAAATAGAGAGAGGGGGAGGGAGTGGGGGGAACAGAGAGGAGGGGGAGGGGGAATAGTGAAGGAGAAAGAGATGGGGAAGGGGTGGAAGGTGGAAGAAAGGGTGAGGAGGGGGTTAAGGGAAGGAGGGCTGGTGGTGGGGAGAACGAGAGAGGGGGGAGAAAGAAGAGAGACAGAGAGGGGGAGAAAGAGAGAGAACTAAGAGGGGAGGAGGGGATCAGAGGGTGTGAAGAGGGGTGGGGGGGGGGGGGGGGGCAGAGGGAGAGAGAGACCTGCTATCACCCCACAGTTGAGCAACAGTGAGTGAGACAGAATCTAATCCTGTAGCTGAGCTGATGTCAGGCTGCCCTGTGGCTCTCTCTCTCTCTCTCTCTCTCTTTTTGCTCCTTCCTCCTTCTCTCTCTCTGCTCCTCCCCCCCTCTCTCCCCCCCCCCCCTCTCTCCCCCCCCCCCCTCTCTCTCTCTCCCCCCCCCCCCCCCCCCTCTCTCTCCCCCCCTCTCTATCTGCATTGTCACATTCCCACCACAGTTCGGGTGGTGCTGCAAACACTGAAGCTGCTTTATATACAGCCCGAGCCCAGGGCTCAGTCACTCACTCAGCAGCACAGAGAGAGACACAGTGTGAGCCTCACAGGGTAGAGACACACAGTCACACACACACACACACACACACAGTAAGTCTTTGCAAAGACCCACCTCGGAGGGGTTTGTTGACAAGTCGCTGCCTCCCTGTTCTCAGGAGTGTATATATATATATTTTTTTTAAAAAAGGAAAGGAAATAAATAAATCGACCAAAACTCGATATTTCTGCACATTCGAAGTGAACAACTTTTCTGCTAATTTCCGGGAGTGAATAATAGGAGAAACTAAACGGAAAGCCGGTAAGCTCGTATCTTTATATATAATACCAACACAAACCCCAAAATGACTTGGAAATAAGTGACAGGGCTTTGTCGACGAGTGTGTGTGGGTCTGTGGGGAGGGGGGGGGGGGTCTGGGTGACTCTTGTGTGTCTGTTTATGTGTCTCTATGTGTGTGTGTCTTTCTGTCTCTACGTGTCTGTCTGTCTGTGTTTGTGTGTCTGTCGCTGTTTGTGTCTCTGTCTGTGTGTATGTCTCTATGTGTGTGTAACTATCTGTGTGTCTGTCTGTCTGTGTGTGTGTGTGTGTGTGACTGTCTGTCTGTGTGTGTGTGTGTGTGTGTGACCGTCTGTGTGTGTGTGTCTCTGTGTGTGTGACTGACTCTGTGTGTGTGTGTATGTCCACATCTCACATATTAACTTGACTTTAATATGTCCAAAGCCCAGTTGCTGTTGAACGTACAGGAGACAAAGTATGAGCAGAGGTCGAGGTCGGTCTGTGTGTGTGTGTGTGTGTCTCTGTGTGTGGGGGGGTGTGTGAGTGTGTGTCTCTGTGTGTGTGTGTGTGTGTGTGTGTGTGGGGTGTGAGTGTGGGGGTGTGGGGGTGGGAGGGGAGGAATGTTACTGCACCGGTGGCCTCAGATAAGAGAAATGGTTACGTTTGTCCTATTGTACAGGAATTGATTTCAGTGCAAAATAAAAGGACATTAAAGTGCCCACAGCCTGTGACTAGAGGGATATGCCAACCCCACCCCCCACCCCTCCCACCCCCTCCCACACACACAACAAAAAGTTGGCTGCATTAATTCTCTGAAGTTATAATGTTTTTAACCAAGTAAAAAAGAGTCGCTTGCTATGGATTTACTTTGTATTTTTTGTTTGTGTTTTTAATTCCTTTAAAATGTGCTAGCAACTTTATTATTATTATAATATATATATAGTGTGTATCTGGTTCGTCTGTCTGTCTGTGTGTGACTGTCTGACTGTATGTGTGTGTGTGTGTGTGTGTGTGTTGCTCTCCGCTCTTTGTATCACCGGCAACAGAGAAAGTGTCAGTAACTGTAGATTTTTTTAGTGTGAAATAACATAAGGACTTCAAGGGGGAGAGTGGTTTATGTGGGGCACTGGTGTAGTCCCGCGGGACACCCGCAGGCGGCGCTATTGCTCCCTCTGTCTATTCGCCTTCACATTTCTATCACAGAGACTCACTCACTTCCTCACTCACTCACTGACTGACACCACTCACTCACTCACTGATACACTCACTCACTTCCTCATTCACTCACTCACTCACTCACTCACTGACACACTCACTCACTCCCTCCTTCACTCACTGACACACTCACTCATTTACTGACTGACACACTCACTCATTTACTGACTGACACACTCACTCATTTACTGACTGACACACTCACTCATTTACTGACTGACACACTCACTTCCTCACTCACTGACACTCACTCACTCACTCATTTCCTCACTCACTCACTGACACACTCACTGACTGACTCACTGCACTCACTGACTCACTTCACTCAGTCACTCACTCCACTCGCTGACCTAATGCACAGACAATGCAGATTTTGACCAACACACTGGTGTGTACATTGCTGCTGTATGTAACATACACAACAGCCACTGCTGTGCAGGAATAACCCACATCCCCCTTCCATTCATGAATGTATTTAAAAGCATTGCATTAAAATACAGTGTCTAAAAATATGATGGCGAAAATCTGCAAAACTGCAGCATTTGTTCGTGGCTTCTCAATCATCAGCTCTGCAGAGAGACAGCATCTGTGTCTCCCCCCCCCCCCCACACACACAGATAGACTTCCTTCCTAACATAATTATTATTATTAGTTAATTCATTAATTAATTATTATAACATGATCAATGCAGCTGACACATTTCACCTTCTGAAATGCAAACGTTTTAAAAAAAACAAAGTAAGAGATTTTATTTAAATGAAAATAATGTAGATCATTTTAATTTTTCTTTTCCTTTCTTCTGTCTCTGTCTCTGGTAAATCATTTGATTTATTTTCCACTGGAATGTGCTGTCATTGAGATTGAGATTGTGTGTGTGTGTGTGTCTCTGGTAAATATCAAGCTATTTAAAATCGATATGGCGATGTTAAACCGATATCTGGTCGTATATCTGTCACCTGAGTCGGAAGGAAGGGGTAGGAGGAAGGAGTTGGTGGGGGTGGGGAGTGTGTGTGTGTATATATATGTGTGTGCATTATCAAATAAAAAAATATTACGAAATGCAGAGAAAAAGGTGTGTGGGGAGAGAGAGAGAGATCAGATGAACTCTGCTTATCTCTTGATTCATTGTGAATTTGTATTCAGATTATTTGTGCGTAGATGGCGGTGGGTGGTTTGGTTTGGTTTGGTTGGGGGGGGGGGGGATCAGTTGTCAGTGTGGGTAAGCTGTCACACACACAGTATTCAGACAGACACAGACAGAGAGACAGAGATAGAGCTGATACCTTCAGAGTAATTACTGGAGATATTGACCAGGTGAATAATGTGTGTGTGTGTGTGGGGTGGGGGGGGGGGGGTGGTATATAGGAGCATTAATTCCATTTTTTTAAAAGAAGGGGGAGCAGGTAGGAGTTTTTATATATATATACATAATATAAACACAGAGGTTGTTAGGACGTGGAAGGTTACCTTAAAAGGTGTTTTGGAGAAGAATGGAGAATAGGGCGTTCGGTATAAGAGGGCAGGACTCGAGTTTGGGGGAAAGAGAGAGAAATAGTGAGGGGGGGCGGAGGTAGGAATGGGGGGAGGGGGTGGGGGTTGGTCGGGAGGGGTGGGGGCTGGTGGGGAGGGGGTGGGGGGTTGGTGGGGAGGGGGTGGGGTGTTGGTGGGGAGGGGTGGGGGCTGTCGGAAGAAGCGGATTTTGCTGTGTGTTTTGTGGGCGAAACCCGGTTTTACAATGCAATGGCTCCACTCACAGAGCACCAGAGACCTCTTTGTTCTCCAGTGAGGTCTGAACTGAGCTGTGTGATCTCCCCCCCCCCATCCTCTCTCTCTCCCCCCCCTCCATCCCTCCTCTCTCCACCCCCCCCCCCATCCTCCCTCTCTCCCTCTCCCACCCCCCTCCATCCTCCTCTCTCTCCTCCCCCCCCCCATCCCTCCCTCTCTCCACCCCCCCTCCATCCCTCTCCTCTCCTCCCCCCTCACCCTCCATCCCCCCCTCTCTCCCTCCCCCCTCCTCTCTCTCTCTCTCTCCCCCTCCCCCCCCCCCCCCGTAAGATTATGATATTAATATAATCCTCGCATTCGATAGAGCGCCTTATCACGTCGTCGGGAGAAAGAGAGAGAGAGAGAGCGCTTCACGGAATATATTCTGCTGTAGAGGAGGGGATGGATTGACTGTGTGTTTCGTGGGCGAATATTTAAACAATTGTTATATTAAAAAAATGTTTAATACCCCCCCACCCCCACACACACACACAACACCCCAACTGCACGTGCAAACCAAAGGCTTTGCACTTTCATTGCAATTTATGATAACATTAGACTTTTTTTATAGAATATATATTTAACACAGAGGACAGTTTGGGGTATTTAACCCCCACCCCCACCCTTTCTCTCTCTCTCTCTCTCTCTCTCATGAGTGTGTCTAACCCTGTAATGCTTGCTTATTTGTTGGCTCTTTTTTTGTATCTCTCAACCCCCCCCCCATCACCCCATGACTCGCTCCTTTCTTTTAATCCTTTTATAAACTTTTCCCCCCTCCTCTCTCCCCCCCCCCCCCCCCCCCACTCCAGGCGTTTAAATTCCGGAAAGCTGCAGGATCACAGTATAGCGGAGGGCAGCAAGTTAACCCTCGTCCCCACCGTGGAGGCTGGACTCATGGTAAGAGACGTCTGAACTCCCTACCCTAACCCCCCCCCACCCTTAACCCCACAACCTTCCTAATTCCCACCACCCCTCTTCCTCCCCCCCCGCCCCCCATTCTTTCTTTTCTTCCTTCTTTCCTTCCTCCCCACTTTCCTTTCTTCTTTTCTTTCTCCGCCCCCCACCCCCACTGCCCCTTTCTTCCTTCTTTTAACCCCTTTCTTTCCTTCCCCCCCCCCCTCTCTCTCACTCTCTCTCCTCCCCCCTCCCACACACAGACGCTGTAATAACCTCTCGCCCTTTGTCTCCCAAAGTCTCAGGCTTCCCGGCCAGAGCAGTCAGTGATGCAGGCACTGGAGAGCTTAACAGAAACTCAGGTAAGATCTGGGCAGACACTGCTGTGTGGCTGTGGGGGGGGGGTGAGTGGTGGGTGGGTGGGTTTGGGGTGGGGGGGGGGGTGGTGCTTTATACCAGGGCTGAGTCTTTGTGCAGCTGTGCACCTCATTATCCTGGGCCGCCCCCCCCCCCACTCTTTCTCTTTGTCAAACCCGTTTAGCTGAGGTTCAGTTGTGTTCATGTGATTGCGATATAACACGAATATAAGTCTGTTGGGAGCAACAAGACCTTCAGCCAAAAAACCTTCTACACATCCATCGCGTTCACAGACTCGAACGTGTTCGCGTGTGTCGCAACTTGTATTTTTATAGGAGTGTCTTTCACATTAGGGTAACATCTGCTTGTGTGTGTGTTTGGGGGGGGGACTTTGTGTGTGTGTGGGGGGGGGGTGGGAAGGGAGGTGATGGTGTGTGTTACATGGAGGGGGGGTGTCTGTGGGTGGGTGGGTGCAAAAATATTTTGTTATATATCTATATATTCTATATATTTCTCTTAAAAATGTGAAGTTTTTGTGAACGTTTGTACTAAAGAGATGGTGTGGGGGGGGGGGTGGCATTTCATTTACTTTTTAAAATTTGCAACTCTCCCCCCACCCCACCCCCCCCCCACCCCCCCCGGGAGCCTGTGTGTGTGGTGGGGTGGGGGTGCGAGGGCGTCTGGTGTTCAGTGAGAAGGGGCCAAGGCTGGTGGTTAGCAACTCAACAAGCCAAGCCCAGTGTGTGAGAGGAAAGAGGGCTTTGTTTAGGGGCAGCTCAGCTTAGCCCAGGGCAGGTCAGAGTGTTTGAGCAGCACAGACCACTGCCTTGACGACAGGTCGGTGCTAAACGCACACAGAGAATATTGTTAGCACAGACCCAACCCCTCCTCCCTCCACCCCCAAGTCTGACGACAGCTTGAGAGACGAGCTTGGGGGAGCTTTCTCTTTGAACCACAAACCCTTCACACCCCCCCCCACCCCCCTCCCTTCCCCAGTAATTAGAAGCGAGAGATTGTGTTCTGCCGTGGCCTTTGTTAAAGGGAACAGCTCTGACCTGGGGGGAATTAACTCGCTTGAGATGCTAAACTGGGCTTCAGGCAGCCAGCCATTGGCTCATAGGAACAGGAGGAGGCCATTCAGCCCCTTGAGTCTGTTCCGCCATTCTATTAGACTCAGTATCGTCTCTCTCTCACTTTCGTCCCCTTAAGTAGTACTTATGGGGGGAGGGAGAGAGGCGGGGGGGAAAAAACCTGCCTTTTAATAACGGCCTGGGCAGGTTTTGTGTGAGTTTTATTATCGAGGCTGAAGTCAGGGTTTGTCTGTTCCTCTTTCGTTCACCCGCTCGCGCTCTTTCACTCTCTCTCTCTCTCTCTCTCTCGTTTGGATGATGCTCTCTCTCTCTCACTCTCTCTCTGTGGCCTCTCATGCAGTTTTGCCTTTGAACAGTTATGTTTGTGTTTAACAGCGCAGTGACTGAGTGAGTGTTGACGCTCTCATTTCCGTCATTTCAGAGCTGAGCTCTATTGTTCTGCCAGTTAGTGATCCCATCCGGGGCCAACTTCAGGCTATTCAACAATTGCCAAGTTATCCCCCAGTGACCCCCCCCCCACCGATATCAAACCAGCAATTTGCCCCTTCCTTCCCCCCCCCCCCACACATACACACACTCACGTTATCTGATCAATGATTTCTTCC